ACAAAGTAAACACAAACAAAAAAAGAAGAGCAAAGTGAAAACCGAGAGAGAGAGAGAGATTGCTAAATATTCACATAGACACACACACACACACACACACACACACGCACATAAATATATGGCATGTAGAAAAATGGATATAGAATGGAATGCGGGCAGAGATATATAGACGTATAAATAATTAGAAAAATATTCGTACTTGAAGTTGAAAAATGCAATAATCTTTGTCTCTCGCTGCTAATTATTAATGTTTCTTGTTACAAAAATCAAAATCAACGATGTGAAAGGAGAGATACAGAAAAGAATACATTTTTAACTAATGACTAATGGATTATTCACTACATAGAGATCGTTTGCATATGAAAAAGAACAGTAAAAGATAAAATACATACATGAGAAAAATATTACACTGGTAGGTAACAAAAAAAACAACAAACGAAGAATAAACGAACAAACGAACGAATGAAAAATATAGAAATCTGTTTCAATGATTTTGCAAAAAGTATTTCAGATCAATTGAACATGATACAACATCGCCTGAATTATTGAGCGTAATGTACCTAGGAAATTTTGCCGGTTTACATATGAATCAAGATCAGTCTTCTTACTACACAAATCATTCAAAAGTTATGATGACAACACCATTTTCTTAAACTATTAACACCATACTAGAATATGTTATACTCAAAAGAGTTGTAGAAAAAATTCAATTTTTGTAGTTTTTAAAAGAAAGATATGATAGAAAACGATGCTTAACGTAAATGTTTTTTTGCTAATATCTAATGTTAACATCTTGTTTCATATAATCCACTTTTTCCAATATATCTAACCCATTTGATTGTTTCTGAATCAGAATAATTTAGTTTATGTTCAAATACTTTCAAGTATCGTACTTTAAATCCACTTGGTGCAAATGGTACTTCAAAATTCATTGATATTGGTGGACGATTCCATTTCTTTTTATCATTTGGTAATAATTCAATTTCAGCTGATAATTGAGATTCTTTCATACCACCCATACCTTTGAAAAAACATTTTTTTAAGTGCAAGCATAATGTTCAACAATCGTTCTTAATACTAATGACTCACGTTTCATTTTCCATATGATAGCATTGTCCGATGATTTATGTCGAGCTTTGCCTTTCATACACAATAGTTGTACGTCACATGTATTTGGTGGTGTAGGAATACGTATTTCGATTTTTTGACCGATCAATGTTGGTTTAAAGTTTGATTTAACAACAACTTTAACTTCCATTTTTGTGCGACCAATTTCCCGTACTAAAACAAATAAAAGAAGGATAGTACTACAAATAATTTTCAAATTGATTGATTACTCGTGCATTACGTTTCCGATTAGTATAGTACCATGACAAGTCAAAAGATAGAAATAATATGAGTTTGGGGGAAGAATGCTAAAAAGTTTTTTGCAAAAAGATAAACATTTTGTGAGTGAATCAACGAAACAATGCTCTTTCAGTTAGTTCTTTCAAATCTCAAAGATCTCTACAGCAGTCTTGATAAATTATACTAAATGTGGCTTACCTAATGGAATAATTCTAAATGGTAAACTAATATCTTTTGTTGTTCGATAACGCATTAATTCAAATTCACCGTCTGGTGGTGTGAATGATATCGAATGTTCTGATTCAAATTTTGATAATTTAACACATTGGTGGAACTGACAATCATCTATGGCAATTGATGTTTTTGTTGTCGAAGATGTTGCTGTTGTTGATGTTGGTGGCGTATTTCCGTTTGTTGACAGCGGCGTGAGAGAATTTCCAGATGATCCTGATGTACCACCAGTTGATTCCAAATGAGTTTTCGAGCGATTTTCTACTGTAATTTTATCATTAATACCAAATTTACACTCAGGCATACCACTTAGATAACTTTTCATTACTACTCTACCAGCTACATGTGCACTCAATACTTGTCCTTGTTGTGACATTAATAAATTAACAGATTCAATAACGTCTAAAAACAGTTCATTTCGACGATATTTAATACCTTCTCGTCTCCAACCAATTTGACCGGTGACACTTGATGTTACATTTGTTTGTTCTTCACGTGTTATCGGTCGAACACCTTGTTGGGTTATAAATGTTTTTAATATACCGGGATCACTATTTTGTGGATAACCAAAATCTAATATTTCGTCTAATAATTCATAAATTAATACAAAGTTATTTTTAATATTTTCTTCTGAGATTTTACCAAAATAAGATTGCATTATATCAATCATTTTATTTAAATATTCAAATACCATTGATGCATTTATATTTTGTCTTGTTACAACACACAACCAAATATTTGAACGTTTTGTATAAAAAAAGCTTGTACGAGCAATATTGACTACTGGAAAACGCATTTGTTGGCGAGCATGTATAACATTCACTCGAAAAGCATCAACAGCATTACGTCCAATATCATCACGATAAACACGAGATATAAGTACTTCACCTTTATGATTATAAATAAACACACCGCCAATCATAATTTAAAGTCAAAATAATGAAGACTAAATGAACTATCTTAAAACATAGAACACAAATTTAAAGTGGATCAAAACTATAATTTCGACAAAATTTTGACTTTTAAAGATATATTCTATCCATAAACACAAAAACCTTTCATGATCTCTACTATTCTTCAATTTATTTTTCTTCACTTTTTCATTCTTTTCAATTACTGTGAGGACTGATAAAATTCAGTTGCATGACAAAGTGTAATCAATCTCAAATGTGTGGGACTCAAATTCATTGGATAGAAAGTTCGGATATGGTCCGAAAATATTAAAAGTATTATTTAAAATGGTCAGATCTCTCGGACAAACATGAGAAATCGATGATGGCACTTTTGAATACCTTAAATAGTAACATACGGTAGTACAGTGGCTTTTCTCATTAAGGACTAATTGTCCGAAAACTTTGACCACTTCAAATGGAATATATCATAATTTCGGCTTATAATTGAAATTTCCATCCAATAAATTTGAATGTTACATTTTAAAAAAAAGAGGCGGCGCCTAATTTTTTTCAATTGTATGAGTCATACTAAATATGCCCACAACCTTCTAGAACAATAAAAAAAACTATATAATTTGATCTCAGAAAATTGAAAATTCAATCGTCTTTTCATATAAGAAATTTGCTATCGACCGAAGTGTAGAAGAGTTTGATCTTAGCTTCTTAGAGGACTTTTTGGTGAAAAACAGTCGAACAGAACTATGCATATTCATCTTATTTTTGCGCAGATGAAGACCATGATAGTCAGCGTAGGTTTTATGAAAATACATTGTCAGAGAAAAATAATTTTTTTAAATAATTAAAGTATAAAGATATAGTTACAGGGAGAAATTAAAATAGACTTATCTTGAGTACGTCATTGAATACAAATTTTCTCTTTTTTAAGTTTAAACACTGTCTGAACTAGTTATATCTGTCCACTACAGGCAGACGACAACTATGAACAGATCAGAATGAAATCGTTCATATTAAAGTAAATAAAAAAGTTAATGTTTGTCTTGATTTAACATAACAAAACATACATATTTGAACAAATCATATCGGAACACATTAAAAAAAGAAAAAAGTAAGTAAGTGGACTTCGCCTGCTATTTACCGACACGTTATTCTGTTTATTGACTGGAGAGTATACAAGCGAATGCAAAACTAAATGCATTTACGCACTGTACTCAAATTTTTATTGGCGTCATTACTGTTGCTAAAAAAAAACAGAACGTTTCTATCTTTTAAAAAAATGTATTAGTTCTGTTTGATTTTGATTGTCTTTCTGCGTTTACCTTGGTTTCATCTTGCACAAGATAGAAATGATATTTCTTTTTGGAAAAAAACCCAGGTCGCATATTTGTTTTAAAAATCAAACACTTTTTATGTTAGCATGTATTTTCTTTTTTGCTTTTGTCGACACATACATAATGCACTATTAATCTATTACTATTGGAAGGATTAAATTTCATCGTTGACGACAAATATGAATCATGTAATTGCAATTTAGTATAAAAACACACATATTTCTTTCTAGAGACTTTTTGTTGTCGAAGCAGTACCTTTCTACTTATAGTTTTTGTGCTATCATAAGTTTGAAACGTTTTCTCAGAAGCAGTTGTCACTATGAAAAATACCGCTAACTGTTTGTTTTACTGATTGAGTCATATGGTGGCCTACTGTTGATTTAGATTTTAGAATTTATAGATAGCTCTGAACGGCATGTAGCTAAGTTTTTTGTTTGCAAGTCTGTAAAGTCGACTGCATTATCGAGGAAAAGAATGTTAACACTTCTACTCAGTGAAACATCTATTTTTTTTATACTAATTAAAGTGGATAGGTTTATCTTCAGTTCTTGAGTAGCGTTTGTTCAATGGTATTCTGCATTGGCTTCACGTAGCTTTAGTTTATTTGTTTTCGTAGATAGTGATTTTTGATGGAATTTCATTGAAACATTTTTTTCTTTGGTACTTTTGACAGCGCAAAGAAAATTTTTGTATAAGCAATATCTCTTCTGAGTGTTCCTTATCTATTATTCAGATATCAATGAGAGTGCACCAAACTACTTCTTGATTATCGCACTAGATGAGAAGTTTTTTAAAAATCTTTATCCATGTTAGTTAGTTAATGATACCAATACCCACGTGGGCTCTGAAACGATCTTTCTGGTTTGTAGCTGAAGAGCCGGTATGTTGTATATCACTTATTTTTAGGTGTATGGGATGAAGATTACAAAAACATGGTTATAATAAAAATAAAAATTTCGGGTGTACCTGGATAGGTCAGAAGTGTTATTGATATTAAAAGAAAGCATAGTACGCTTTCCTATTGCGTTGAAAGTTCTTCAGTCATTATATTTTTTCTATAACCTTTTTAGATTATAAATTTATTTTTCTCTTTCGTTTCGTCTATATTTATTATCTGACTATCAATATATGTGTATTGTTGTTATTTTTCAAAGCTTGTATGATCACATCCACCTGAAACATGCCATCAAATCCTGATCTTGATACTAAACGCGAACATTATCAAAAACTAATTGAAAAACCATTGAAAGAAGGTGATAAATACGTATTGATTGATGCAAAATGGTTTGAATATTGGAAACGTTTTATTGGGTTAATTGCACCCGATTCACTATCAGCATCAAAACAACAAACCGATCCGCCTGGTCCAATTGATTTTACGGGCTTAATTGACCCGTCGAACATTAGTCATGACGATGGCGTTCAATTACGCGCAGACGCTGTTGAAGGAAATGATTATTATATGATTCCTTACGAATTATATACTGACCTATTTTCGAACTTCGGTAAACGAGGAGAAGAAATCGTACGTTCCGTCATATGTGAAAATGATATAACAAATTTGATTGAAATAAGGCCGTTATTATTATATTTATGTACCAATCGTCATACAGCAAATATCAAACCTGTTTATCGTAGTCGCACAACAACACTCGAGAAATTAAAACAAGAAATGATGATACAATTTTCTATTAAGGGATTCGAATACCAATTTCGTTTATATATGGCAACCGATGATTTTCAATGGGAACTACTTAGTGAAAATTCGAAATCCAAAACGCTACATGAATTATCGGTTGTAACGAAGTCCTATATTAGTATTGAAAGTGCTTCAATGTATCAATCATCAAAAGCATCAAATTCAATAACATCTGCAATAGGAACCGGTCAACATCCACCTGGTCAATGTGGTTTATCAAATCTTGGAAATACTTGCTTTATGAATAGTGCAATTCAATGCATTAGTACGTTTTTTTCCTCTTCATTCAGTTAGAAAAGTTAGTGAAAGTAATCAGAGAAAAACGTGTTCGGCTCACTGATTTTCGGTTAGATATGTGTCAACCTTCATGAGTTACTTTAAGTTTTATTCGAGAATTAAACTGCTCTATTTCGTACGAGATTTTGGTTTATTAATCTATGTAGAGAAGGAACTCAAGTCAAAAAAGAAATATTTTTATACTCTTGTTTTATTCTAGGTAATGTTGGAGAACTAACATCATATTTTTTGAACGAAGAATACAAACCACATATTAACGTTGCAAATCCATTGGGTATGAAAGGCGAAGTGGCCACTGCTTATGCTGAACTTATTAAAAATATGTGGTCTGGTAAAAATTCTTATTATATACCAAGAATGTTAAAAGAAAATGTTGCTCGTTATGCACCACAATTTAGTGGTTATTCTCAACAAGATAGTCAAGAATTTATATGTTTTCTATTAGATGGTTTACATGAAGATTTAAATTTAGTTAAACAAAAACCTTATATTGAAAAAACAGATGATGATGGTAAAAAAAGTGATCATGATTTAGCCCATGAACAATGGGAATATTATAGAAAACGTAATCAATCAAAAATACATGATATATTTCATGGACAAATAAAATCACAAGTACAATGTTTACAATGTAAAACATTAGGACGTACATTTGATCCAATCTGTTTTTTAAGTTTACCATTACCAAATAAGAAAAAATTTCGCATATTTAAAATTGAATATGTACGTTTAAATGGTAAAATAAAATATTATCATGTTAAATGTAATGAACGTGGACGAATGTCAAATTTAATTAAAGATTTTGTACAAAAATTTATCTCAAAAAAATCGATAACAGCAACAATAGTCGATAATGAACAAAAAGAAGATAATATTTTAGGTGATGATGATAATTTAAATGAAAATGATGATAATGATTTCTTGGATGATAATGATGATCATATACCAAAACTTGATCATATATTACCAACAGAAGTCTATAATCATCGTATTCATTTACAATATTCAGATGATGCACTACTAGCAAATATCTTAGAACGTGATCAAATTGTTTTTTATGAAGTGCCTGTTTCATTGAAAAAAGAAAATAATGAAACAATACTAATGCCATGTATATTGCGTACAATGGATAATATGCATCAAAATTTTGGTCTGCCATTTTATTTAAATATTCCAAGACATAAATGTCAAGGTAAACATATTTTAGAAGCATTACAACAATCAATTCAAGTTTATTTACCATTAAATACGCCATTACCCTCATCGTCTATTGTTGATTCAACAAAACCACCTTTTATAGCACATTGTGTCTGTAGTCAAAGTTATACGCAAACAACAAAATTATTATCTAATATTTTAGATGAATTAATTGACTTTTCACGAACAAATACTACACTCATTTGTGATGTTGCTCGACACATCGTTGATCAATATGAAAAAGATGAACAACAACGTTTAGATAAAGAACGTATAAGTGCAGGTGGTCACAATTCATCATCAACAACATCGGGTATGACAACAAGAAGTCAACAACAAAAACAATCACCAATAACTCTGTTAGATTGTTTTAAACATTTTACAACAAAAGAAACATTATCCGATCATGATCAGTGGTATTGCCCAACGTGTAAAGAATTAAAAGATGCCACAAAAAAATTTGATTTATGGTTACTACCAAAAGTATTAATTGTGCAATTAAAACGCTTTAATTATACTCGATATTTTCGTGATAAAATTGATTTATTTATTGATTGTCCAATACATGAGTTAGATTTATCACAATTTGTATTAAATCCTGATGAAAAACAAAATGCCAAATATGATTTGATTGCCGTATCTAACCATATGGGTGGTTTAGGTGGTGGTCATTATACAGCACATGCAAAAAATTTTCTAAATCAAAAATGGCATACATTCGATGATAGTTCTGTATCCAGTATTGATGAACAAAATGTTGTGACAAAATCAGCCTATGTACTCGTTTATCAACAACGTCATCAAAATACTAACAATGGTATGAGTATTGTAGATGAAAATCAGACAAATTCAGTAAGAAAATCAAGTGCACGTTCGAAAGCTCAAACAAATAATAGCAGCAACAAAATGGACGTTGAAAGTTGAGATATTTCATAATAAAAAAAGAAAACGCTAATTTATTGAACAGTTAAACTGGGTAGGATATGAGAAGTTCCCACTTTATTTATATTGTTAGTTCAACTTGTGAAATAATTTGATACCCTTCTCGACAGCATTGCTCATACACTAAGTACTTGAGATGTTATTCCCGGTGAGCTATGCCCATTATTAAGACTTTTGTCAAATAGGATTGTCAATATTTATTTTTCTGGTGTATGAGCTATGGCATTATTCTCTTTTTTTTCGCTTGATTTTATTTTTAGAACAAGAAAAGGAGTTTAATTGTCCTTACTTCACTAAATGTGCTTTTATATCAATTTCAATTTTCTCTTCTTTTTTTTTATAAGAAATAACTGTGGAATTTTTTGTGACTTATACTTGTTGTTCTTTTGTTGCAATCAGATAAGAAGCAAACGAACGAACACAGTGTTTTTTACAAAGCCTAGATGCTTTTTTTTTTTCTTTTTTGTTAAATATAAATAAAAACTACTAAACTCGTATGTGAACTTGGACAACATCGGAGTAAATTTGCTATGTAGTTCTGCTTTTTTCTTCTTCTGTTGTTTACGTCGTTTAGTTTTATGTGCAAAGACAAATAAAAAATATTTATGTTTCTTCATCAATCGATGTATTGTATTTGTATTTGTTTGTTTTTCTTTTATTACGTTCACACTATATATCTATTTTTACTTAATTTTTTTCGTCTTTTCTTTTTCTGTTTTTTCCTCCTAAATTTTGACGATTAAATAGAAATAAAAAACAACATATAGAATTTAAAGTGAAACAAAAATAGAGTGCATATTAGTTAAAACTATCTGATTTAGTAGATAAATAACAAATTTTTGTTTTATTTTTCTTAACTAGAAGATTTATTTTTAAATCTTGAACAATTTGAATAGTTTAGATTTATCTTTTGTGTTTCAGATAACATTTATGCCAAAGTTGAATTTAATTTTAGCCATTCACTTCCGATGTTTTTCATCTCAGCTAGTAGATAATGAATCATTGTTTAGTTTGAATCGCTCATATTTTGCTGAATTTATCGGTTTTTTGCTCTATAGTTCGTTTACAGGTTGAGACCAACCTGTTAGTATTAACATGCACGGAAAAAAAAGTTCTTGATTTTGAATTTGATTTGAATTTTCACACTTCTAGTGCGATGAGTTTGCATCTTTGAAAACGAATTATTGAAATTTAGACCTTTTGTTGTGTGATGAACACTATTCTGTTCGTCCGCATCTCCTTTTACCACATTCTGCAGCCCATTCTTCTATAGAGGAGTCATCGTACTGATGAGGTACACTCATCAGTATGGTGATCAGTCGTTATAAAAATTACCTTACTTTACCTCGTGATCTAAACACTAGGTATTAAAAAGTTTCTACCTTATCATACTATATTCTGAAACTTCTGTGAGAAGGAGAATTTTTCCCAGTACGATAATTCTTCTTCAAATTCGCACGCCGCTACCGCCAAAGGCAAAAGATTCTTCTTTTCGCCGCCGCCACTGATAAAGTAATCGGCTAATACCTCTACTTTCAAGCCAAAAAGATTAGAAACCATTCGTTTGTATCCTATACTCTCGTACTTATATCTTTGTATAGTCCACTTTTGAAGAAGCATAATCCATCTTTTGCAGTTATACGTACGGTGTTTATATTTGTAACGCTTCATGATCCTCTGTTAACAAATGATTCATTTTTCATAGTTTTAACTTTCATCTATTGTTTCTGTGTATTTCATAATGTATAGAAGAATTGGTAAATAAAGAATCAAATCACTGTTACGCATAACTTTTGTTTATCCTAGAGACATCATCTATCGGTAACTATAGGGTATGAGCCCTGCTATCCGAATTAAAATTGAAAAAGTTTTGTGCAAATACTTTCTTAATTTTATGTCTCTAGGAAAGTGACATCTTACTGTAAGAATGGGGATAATGAAAGAAGATGGATAATCACCGTTTGACGGTAATTTTTAACTTTGATGAAGTATCACTAAGTATTAAAAGCGTTCGCATATATATACAAAGAAATCATTAAACATGATTATTGCTATCATGTGAACATAATGTATGTAAGTGAACTTTTAACTGAAATTTTTTATCTGGATCATTCACTTCTTTTCACAGTTATAGATGAGAGGTATTCACAGAGTTAGAAATTTATGAATCAACTGTTGTTTAGATCTTTCCTACTATTCTACTTTTAAATTTTTTCTTATGCATTACTACATTTTTTTATTTCAGATAGTTAAATATTGAAATATAGATAAAAAGTTTTGAATAGTTAAAAAAATAGTCCATAATGGATGTCAACCGTGATAGTAAGTACATAAAAATATCCATAGTACAATGATAAAAAAGTGAAAAATATTGTGTTTTCATTTATAGATTTTTATGATGTACTTCCCGAAGTATTATCTGACATTGATGCTGCTGATTACGTGGCAATTGATGGAGAATTTACTGGTATATTATCTTTTGAAAAAATGAATTATTTTGATACTCCAGCTGAAAGATACAAACGACATTATGATGTAATTATTTTTTTCTGTTCAAACGACCGACCATCATGTAGTTTTATGTTGTTTTAGTGTGATAAAAATTATTTGATGATTCAAGTTGGTTTGGCGATGATTCGTTGTATTAATCCACTTGAAAATAGGTATAGATCGCAATGATCATTTAATAGTTATAAAGGAATGTGACATTAAAACTTTCTTTAGATACGGAATGAAAGCATACAATTTTTATATATTTCCAGAAAACGAAAATGATGCCGTTAATTTTTCATCCAAAGTAAGTGTATAAAACTAATATAACATTCAAAATGAATCGTTTTTAATACCATTCAGAGTTCATCCTTGCAATTTTTGGCTGCCAATCGTTTTGATTTTATACAATTATTTTTAAAAGGTAAGCTCTCATCAAAATGAAAATTTGACGAATGAAATGTACATACAACATCATTTTTTAGGCATACCATTTGTTTGTAAATCAACGTGTCTAGAGAAACTACAAAAAACACCAAAACATCGATATAATAATAAAACATTATCAGATGGAAGTAGCAAGTAAGTGGAATGCATGTTCATTGAATAAAGACTATTAAGTTTTTTACATTTTAGAGTCGAAACATCTAATGATGGTATCAACATTCAGGACTCTGCTTCAGCAAGCGCTGATAATTCGACATCATCGAAGAGTTCAGAGGCTTTATTATCGAAAGAAATGGTTGGATTTTCTGAAGTCATATGGTAAGTTACTATTGTTTTTGATACTCTGATGTTAAATTTGTTCTCTTTTTTTTTACACATAGGAAACTTCAAGAATCGGTATGGTATTAGTTTCTATTAATAAAAATATATCTGGTGCACAAGTAATTGTTTTCTAGGGTAAACCTCTTATTGGACATAATATTGGAATGGATTTGATACATATTATACATCAGTTTTTTACACCAATTCCTCCGGTAAAGTTTTGATTTGTTCATTAAAAGTTTCATTATTCAAATTTTTGTTCATTATTATTTAGACATACGATGAATATAAATCGATTGTTAAATCTCTCTTTCCAAAGTATAATAAATCGTATATAAAAGTATGAATAAATTCTCTACACTATTTATTCTTTTTCTTCAGGATAATTGATTCCAAAACTGTCGCATCGACATCAATATTTCAGGTATTTTCTAAAGGTATAGATTTAAAAATCATTCAATAATTCCTATTCATTTTTTATTTAGGGAATTATTTCAAATACATCACTTAGTTCATTGTACAAATGTGTTCGAGAGCCACCATTTCAACAATGTCGATTCGGTATAGAAATAGATTTGTAAATTAAAGTAAGCTATTGTTATAGCTGAAATTTGATATGCTTATTTTCATTTGTTTCTAGAAACACCTGAAAATTTTCGATATAGTACCAGTGAAATGGAACATACGGCTGGCTATGATGCGACAATGACAGGCATTTGTATAGCAAAATTACTTAGTTTCATCGGTACGATCTACTCTGTCGAGTACATTGGGACTATGTGTATTGGTTCTGTTATTTTAGCGCATAAAGCAAGTTTTGAAGACAATCCGATTAATCATACGTTAGTCCAATCGTTTATGGGAAAGTAAGAATTAGTGACAAGACTTAGTAGTAAAAAGTTTGTAAAAATTGATCAATACGTTGCAACTAGGCATGCATTGGTTATAAGCGATGCATGCCTTGTTACAGTAGTTATCGTACAAAAGATCGTACGCAGAATCGTAATTATATAGGCTGTACAGACTATTTAGAATATTTTGTTATTTGTTTTAGATTGTATTTTATGCGTTCATTTGATCTGAAATATATTGATATAGTCAATGACGATGGTAAGTGAACGATTATTAAGTATTTATTTCTATAAATTACTATGTATTTGTTGATATTGAAGAAATTCCTGATCGTGGGGGATTATTTTATGTCTCTCATCCTAAATCATGGTCAAACGCAAATGTAAAAGCATTTTTTCAAAAATTTGAATATTTGGCATCAGATCGATACGATTCAATATCTCATGTTGTCGCCATATCAATGAAAAAGCAGACAATTTCTTCCAGTGAATAATATCCATTAATTTTATTTTTTTCTATCACTATTATTGTATGTCTTTTAGTTATAACCAAGGTAAAAGCAGTCGATCAAAGTTTAACGATTATACCCTATGCTGAATTTCAAAATATTGATACATCAAAACAAAATGTCAAACAACAATTAAATCCGTTATTTGATTTTGATACATCGAGAAAACAAAATAAGCGATCAACGGCAGATGCTGTAAGGATTTATCTTTACACTGTCATTTGTTCTATAGTATGTTTGATTATATTTTTAGTCATTCGACATAGACGCACCAATATCAACAACAACAGAGATCTCAAATACTCAATCGACTGATAACGCTCGTCGTAGTCAACAACTCGTCTCTTATGCTGACGTACCATCACCGATCGAAATATCAGATAAAACAATATCTTCAACGAAAAATGATGCGAAACGAAAAAGATTATTTGATTATGATGATGAATTATCATGGTGAGAATAAATTAGTAATAGTTACACTTTTTTCTGTGAAAAATTGCGAGAAATTTGTATTTTGTTTATGTATGTGTTTTTTCATGTATTAAATACATAAGAATGGAAAGAAAATAAAAAATTTGTCGTTCAATGGAGTACTGTGAATTATAAGAACAACTATTTACTACAGTATATCTTTCAATAGAGCTCTCTTCGCCTGATTTTAGAGAAAATGTTGGAGCAAAGATTTGTTTCGCTCTATTACTCCGAAAACGTGCAGAATATGAACGTATTAACTGTATTGTTTGCAGCTTCTAAATTCATATTTTTAAAACGTGTTAAGGAATTTCTTTTTACTCTTACTTTTTCTCCTTAATACATTGTCAATATTTCCCAAATTGAGATATATATACGCGATTCTTTGCTTATTTGTTTGTTTTCAGAAATTTAGTACTGGTGATGAGCCGGTAGGCTCGAAAGCTCTATGAAGTTATTTCAAATAAATAAATAAAATATGGATGCAGAAGCTGCAAATAATAGAATTATTACATTTACCGTGAAAGTTCTGCCATTAACACAGATTAGTTAAATAGAATATGTTTTGCGATTGAACTGCAAATACTTTTTCTGACGAAAGTTTCGCTAGCATAAACTATCTGTACATAACATTACATATTGATATGACCTTGTCCCCGGTTGTACTGGTAATGGCAATAATAGAAATCTGAATCAACAGCAGCCGAATAAATTGCATAAATATTCAAATTTCATCTGAAATCATCATCAACAATACTCACAAGTCGTACAACTGACAGTGATGCTCGATATCACTATTAAAATGCGTTTTCAAAGACAAGGATTGTGAATAGCTTTTTAATACTGCATAGTTTTATAGAGCTTAGAAAATCTGTCATTGAATTATAATAATACGCTCAAGGGTTTCTCCTGCGCCTTAGGAGTAGCCTCCCTCTTTTTCGAAAAGGTTTTGGATTTTGAGTTGAACACATCCTAGTTTAAAGGAAAGTCTAGACTATAAAATAAGGCCACTCCCAGTGTTTCGCGATCTTTTTCTTTTGCAAAAGTTATGTTTTTCGATTTTTTGCTCAAAAGACTAAAAAACTTTAGTTTTTGGGTTTCGTAAACTTTTCTCTATCTTTAGCGCCTTCGAAACTTTTTCTTATACATAGTTTGATAGAGCAAAGCGCTACTTTTAAAACGGACCATTGCTTTTTTACAGACATATGAGCATCATTGTAAATATCATGAAAAATGACCTGTCTAATATTATCCATAATGGTCAAAATACAGCTTTTGTTTTTAAAAAACCCTAAAGTCAACAAGAAAAAAACGTTTTAAGATAAATCTGAGCAAAAATGTATCGTTTCTCTTTTTTCGAATCTTCGGTATGGCTTTGGGTTTAATCGGCCTCTTGGTTCACCTTTGCTAGAGATGAAAAAGTCCAAATCCGAACTGATAAAAACTTTTTCACACGGACTGACTGAAGACACGGTAGATTTAGACTGGAGTTGGGCTGTTTTTTTTACAGTTGCGACTAAACTTTTCAGTTCAAATCTCCTCCTTTATCTTGTTGATGTTACCACTTTTTGATGTTACTACACATGAGTAATAAGATGACCAAAACGAAAAACAGAACGAAAACTGCCAGGTACTTCGGCTACGTTTGAGAGAGTGTTTTCTCAATCTGGTTTTCTTATCTGGTTTACTTAAAGATGACGAGAGAAATCCTCTCATGCTTTACTTTACTCAAATGTAACTTTTCTCTAATATATTGAATAGCTTGATGAATCTTGAAAATAAATATAGAATCTTGTAGAGAATTGAATTCTCTATCGTATGATGTATAAAGAAAAACTTTTTATAAATAGGAAGTGATAGAAAAGTGCATTAACAAATACATTGACTGACATTGGACTTGAAGCTCAGCGACTGAGAGTTAACTCGGACTGACAGAAACCGAACTTGTCCATTTTTAACCTTTGCCAACAAAAAGAAATGGCTACTCTGGATAAACTTTGGTGAATTTTGTCTCACAGAAGAAAATAATACAATAATAATTCGTCTGAAAAGATCAAGTTCATGTGTTCGATCCTAGCTTCATGCAAGGATTGATTTTGTGTTTTGATAGTTTAAGTTTCAGAATGATATAATGGGAATTTATATACTCGATTTCGTTCTGGTTCAAGATTAAAGCTTAAACCAAATAATACAAGGATAAAATAATATAAGGAAGCAATAAAAATATTAAAATTTTATTAATGGAATTATTAAAGGGAAGCAATAGAAATAATACAAGGAAGCAATAAAACAACAAGAAAGAATGATATTTAGTCTGTTTTTGCTACAGAGAATATGATGTTCATTTCTTCCTAATTCTTACACCAAGTTTTATCTTGGAGTATTATTCTATTCAAATTTTCTGTCTATCAAAATATTGATAAAAAAATACAACAAAATGATATCGTTCCTATCACCTTGTTCACTGTAAACTGGGATATAAGAAAATCTTTGAGTTACTAGTACATAAATCTCTGTTAAATTATATAACATATACCAACTTCTTTTGAGTAGCGCAATTTGATTTTAGACCAAATCACTCAACAACTCATGCTTTGTTACATATAACTAGTGAACTGAGTCAGATTCTAGAGAAAAAGCAAAGCCAAAAGCCTCACTTTTGATTTTTCAAAAGCATTTGATCATGTAGATCATAAAATTTTATTAGAAAAATATTTAGGGTAGATATTAGAGACAAACTTTGTTTCCATTACTAAGAAATCTAGAAACTGTTCAGCAACATGATTGTTTAGGGGAATATTTTTAGTTATATACTGAACATTTCAAAAATGTCTTTCTTGATGTTAATAGTAAAAAAATAAGATGTGTGTGAGTATATGTACAAGAAAGGACTTGGGCGGGTAAGCATGATTTTCGTTCCCCATGGAACTCCAGTTCTTTTGATGTAAAACAAATCAGAGTGATATCAGATATTATACCATTTAGCTTTTCAAAATTCCATCATGAGATATTTGGTGCCTAGTGTCCCCCACAGAATTTAGAGAAAAGTTTTTTTGTTTTGCCAATCTTGACAAAACGACGTTGGCTAGATGCAATTTTTGATGTTGATCACGAATATGTTTGTTATCAACGTCAAAAATTGATTGTTAGGATTATAGGATCGTAAACAATGTGAAAATATCACATTAGGTTTTTCATGCTCTACACAGTGGGCATTTCCTCATAGAGCAGGCGGCATTTTTTGTCGACATAGTTTTTTTGAATCCAAAATCACTTTTTTATACGTTTTCGCATACGGTATTTCCAGCAGTGTGGCAAAGGTGAGTCGCAGAAGGTTTTTCAGAGGTTTTCCAGGTGATTTCCAGAGACCCAGGCTTCAAATACCCCCTAGAAAAAGTTTGCAATTGTTTTAAAGCAAAGTTTCAGACTCGCCGTAACCTAAAACCTATAAATTTGTGCTTTGAAAATATTTGCGCGACGCTGAGAGGTCTTCCAAAAAATCGATATCAAAC